GCCTCCGTTGGGGCTGGCCTGTCGGCGGAGCGCTTTCTCGTGACCGTTCCTCAAAAAAATAAATAAATTATTGTTGTGTGTGTATATATATATATATGGGCACACGCACGCTTCTGAGATTCTCAAGCACTGTCTTTTACATGCTGTCTTTTCACCCGTTTTGCCAAAAGTATTTTGCTTGTGGCACGGGGACGTTTGCTGAAGTACTGGAGAGTCTTCTGTGGTAAATAGTTCACTAAAAAATTCTTTGCTTAAGAAAAAAATCATGAAGTGTGCCACAGTTGCCTAATCCTGAAAGCACCATTCTGGTGCCTCACTTTAAACGATTTTCAGTAGTTTGGTCTGTGTGACGTGTCGCTCTAGCAGTCCAAGCAGGTCTACCACAAACTTGATGTGCTGGTCCTGTGTCTCTACATAACTCATAGGAAGGAGGGAGAGGAAATACTTGGCGCTCCATGTGCGGCAAGGACAAGTTTCTAAGCATGCAGATATTGCAAGTGTACCCAAACTGGTTTAAAAAGCCTGCAGCATTGTTACTTCTATTATACCAAGCCCATCCAGCAACTTCGGAATGAAGCAGTAGTCACAAAACAGGTGTATTTTGCCTCATTACAGAAGTCATGGAATAATAAAATGCTTCAGTATTGGGTTTGAATTTAGTAATAACTTGGTCTGGGTTAGAGCCAGTTCCCAAAAGCAAAGCTACAGGTAGTCTAGAGAAACCTTTACTCAGGTAAATGCTTCTAGCTACTCTATTTCTGGTACAAATGCTCTTATATCTGTTGCACAGTTCTGTGCAAGGTTTTTACGAAAAAGAAAATAAAGATGTGAGTTCAGGCTAACTAAAGGAAAACAGAAAAAAAAGTCTGGAAAAGTATCAGGAAAGTATTTCCATGATTAAGTGACACGGAAAACATCATCAAACATCCTTCTAAACTTGAAGCATTTTCTTCAAGTATTGTTTCTTTTTACAAGGAAGAGATCGTTATGAAGCAATAAGACTTAGATATGGGAATCGTCCAGATAAAAGTATCAGCAGGAGGAGCCTGAAGGACTGCAGAGTGGATGTTATGTGGGACTTGGCACAGCACAACATTACACTTTGAGGCTCATATAGAAACACAGTTGATTTCATTTCAGTGATGTTCTTTCTAACTGGCATTCAAAACTGAATGACTTCCAGCTATAAGTAGATGCAGTGATGCAGTCTTTTACACCAGCAGTGAAAATGCAGCTCAAGCTGGCTTTTCTAATACTGTGACATTGCAGACCATAGCTAAGATAAATGGTGCACCCAGTTGACATTAAGTCCCTGCAGCTGAAAGCAAATCAATGAGTCCATGAACAGAAGCTTTCTTCTAATGTGTAATATAGAGACAATATTCTAGCGGGAGCTTTCTGGGGACAGGGGATGTCTTCGAAGAACTGTCGGAAAATTGCTCAAGAAAGGGGCAATTAGAGAAAAACTAGGGCCTAAGAAGTTATGGCATTAGTGAGGTTTGCTTGGGGTCAGAGACAGTTGCCACTTCCAGGATGGTTGGTATGTACAGAGTTTACTCCTCCACAATTCCCTTGGCAACACAATCTGCCCTCCTAGCACATGCTAATAAGAGTAAATGAAGAGTGCCGCAGAATGGAGACACCATGGCCAAACTGAGTTAGATTCCCTGTGGAGGTGGCAATCTGATGGTGCCGTGCAGACAATGTGTGAGTGGAGGGTGGATTGGAGAGAAGACTCTGCAGCCAAACTCTGCCGTACTCCCTCCAGAGGTGGTGACCTGGTCTGGCCTCGCAGCTGATAAGCCACATAGTACGATAAGGTGTCTGGTGCTGGGCCAGCAATGGGGGCAGATCTGTCCCTTTGGATGGACTTTGCTTGAACTTTTCCTCATTCTAACCTCATTGTAATACCAATGCACAGCCCTATCCCAAAAGTTACCTGCTTCCAAGGAATGACCACTCCTCACTGAGCACACTCTCTAGAATTTCTGTTGACTGGAGAGACTTTTTAACCAATCAGTAACAAAATTAAGCACTTCTAGAGTCACTCAAGCTCCACCTAAATGTAAAAAATCATAAAGGGAGAAAGGACTAAGGTGGGAAGAAGTTGGAGGGAAGACTCCATCCTGACTTCTGGGATTGGTCGACGGGCTGAACCCCTTTCCTCTCCTTGAGTCGGGACACTGCCTGAGGAGACTCCTGGAGGTTGAGAGCCCTCTCCCATCTTCTGGGGTGAGTAATGATTGCACGTTTGTACTTTAGACACTATCTAAGAACCCCACACTGTAGCAGAGAATTTCCTGTACTGACATCTGAAGCCAGCTTTGTAAATGTTGCATTTGAATATTCGTGAACTCGACAACTTGTTTTGAAGGCTGTCGGACCTATCGTCCACAGACTGTTCGTGAATCTGGTGCTGCCGGAGTCAGGCCTGTAGCTACCACAGTGCTTGGTATCCCTATTAAGAGTGAGTCCAGCCACCTCCAGTCCCTCTAACCTCTGGGGATTGGCTGGAACACAAGGATTCATCTCTTACTAAATTAGCACCCCCCTTCAAACCGCAATATGAACTGTACCAGACAACACTGTGATCGAATGGCACTGAGTAATTAAAAAAAAAGTCACCTCTTTCACTGAAAGTGTCTGTTCCTAGAGCAGCCAAATTATGACCTCAATTATATCTAGGTAACCTTTTCTAGCACCATCTGTTCAAAAATGCATGCCTACCTTCTCTTTGCCTTCTCAAATATTCCATATGTGTGCTTTGAACTCTAATTACAATATCATTGTATTTGCAATTTGCTTGCATTTTTTATCTTGATTTTACTTAGAATTTCTATACACATAAACAGAAGAACAAATCTCAGAATCATTTTTTAAATAAAAGTAAGCAATAGTTTGATTAGCGCTTGGTGTAGAAATTTGCATGGGTGTGAGTGTTTTATGACGTAGGATTTAGAATCCATCTTGGTCCTAATTAAAATACATTTTAAAATGACCCTATGTTGCTGTGCTGTCTTTTGGGTAGATTCGTGATAGCACTGTCCTTTTTTTTTTTTCCCTCAGTGTGCTTTTCATGCTGCCTTCTTACATATGTTCTCTCATTCACTGAATGGCACTAAAAAGCATGAAGACGTTTATTTCCAATGAAGGCAAATACTACTTATTAAAGAAAGACTTGTTATGCTCTCTTGCATGCTGGAGAAAAGCCATCTTTAAATATTTTCAAAGATACCTCCTTAACCTACTCTAAATTCTCCTTAAAACACAAGCTCTAAGGAGAACAAGGGTTGTTTATTTTATGCTTTTACAGCACATTGACAAGATGAGCATTTATATATATACATATAAAATATATGGAGTAAAAAATAATGCAGATGCTACTATAATAATCGGTTATTACTAGTAACTAAATAATTATTAATCATGTTTCCATTGTTAAATTTGCTTTTGTTACCTGTCTACCTTTTAGGAGCTTGCCAGAGCTACTTAATTCCTTACTTTGTGACCTCTGGGTAATTGTGGTGTCACAGGATAATGTGTTCTTACAGTATTATTTTGGCCTACTGCATTGGTCTGAAAATAAGTTATTATGTGTAGTATATTGTAGATATCAATTGTAATTGCTATACTGGTCCACTTTGGTGATAAAGTTGTCATATGGAGCATGTGATGGACAAGTATACATTGTCCGGACTGCTTTGATTGTAGCTTCATGATTTTTCATAAATGTGATCCATGGTAATTACAAAGTTGTTGGATAACTGCAAAAAATAATTTTGCTTCTTCAACTCTGAAAGTTACCTTGACATTGTCAAATGGGCATACTTAATGTTCTCAGTGTTGAAAGGAACGTAAACAGAAACTTGGACTGCATGCACAGTATTTTAGCAGTGTGGCAGGTTATAGCATCCACATCTATTTTGTGTGCTTTGGGTATATATACCAGGATTTGCAAACAGGACCCGCTTTGAGTTATGATTATCTTAACACTGGAGAATACATTAGTTAATTTACAATGAGAGCTTACAACGCAAAGTCACAAGTTGTGACTTTGAAATGGAGATTGTATGATGTCTATGCAGAATACTCTGCTCAAGTTAATTCCTACTGCCTCTTTGGTAGGCTGCAGAAATGCCCTTTTCTGATTTTCCCTGTTAGCCTGTTTATAGCCATGTCTTACAGCAGGTTCTGATTGTGCTTCTCATACAGACATCCATGTACACAAAGCTTGCTGTGGTCTCACAGCCTCGTAGTATTCAGCATAAATGTGGCTGAAAAATCCTGATAACCAGATTTAAAAAATGGGGCTAGGGTAAGGAGCTAGTTCCTGCTTCATGATGTCTGAACTGAATGTATCCACAGCTCTGCAGCTCTTCTAAGCTGCTGAAGAAGTGTACAATTCAGGTCAAAGTCATTTTGAGAATCTATTTCAGCAATGCAGCAACTATTAAATTACTGTCCTTTGGAAGTTCCACTGGACTCTGATACTAACCACAGGGGTTATTAAGTGGGAAATACATCTTTCTTTGGCTTCAGCCTGACAGACTAGAGTTTGTAACAAAACCCCTCTACACAGCATTTTACAAACTATATTTTAAGATGAAATGGCTTAGATTCAAAGCACAGAAATACAAAGTTATGAGCTACTGCTACATTTTTAAGTTCACTTTTGTGCCAGACATTGACTTTCTGTACTGATTAAATCATAGGATACAATGTCTAGAGACAACGGGGCAGGCCAAGGGTTAAGCAGTTGGTATAAGTCTGAATTTACTTAGTGAAGATTTAGTCTGATAATTTGAGTATAATAATCTCCAGTTTTCGTGGTCACACCAGTGCAACATTACTGAATACAATGGAGACCGCGTAGGTCAAAAAAAGAACTTTTTTTTTTTTTTTTGCCTAAGACTTTGTGTATTTTCCTCCTTTGTTTCTCAAATT